GTACTACAGTGTCCTGTTATATGTGGTGTACATGTTTATGTATGTCCTCAACTCCTGCCATTTAGTGCAGTCGCACAACAACGTAATCTTGGTACAAACTAATTCCTTCATGCCGGAGAGATCCTGATAAGGAGGTTTCTAGAGGCAATTGAAGGTCCAGATCAGACCGTTGCTGTGTGGACTTCTCATCCAGAGGAAAGACAGAAACCCAAGCGAGACATCTGCCCTTCAGTTGTGCTTTGATTTAAGCCTTATTCAGTCAAGTGGTGCACAAGCTTTAAATCACACAACTGTAACTTAAAAATCAGTATTTCAAAAAGATTTTCTTTCATAACAAAACCTAGAGCAGAACGTGGTTCTGTTCCAAATGAATAGGAACCGTAGGTTCCCCCATCCGATCACGGCAGCGAGGTTAAAATCTGCTATGTTATCAAATGTTGCATGTGTGTGAGCACATGTTTTATCTGTACTTTTAAAGTACAGAAGTAAATTACATTCAGCAAAACAGGAGTCCTTATTAATTATGAGCTCTGCCCCTTATAATTAGGACTTGGTGTCTCATAATAACAAGAGCTTCATCTTATAACCACAAAAAGACAAGTCTTGTTGTGATTATCATCGATCACAGGTAACAATGCAGATTGTTGTGGAATCAGGTTCATTATAAAAGCCAGTTTTAGTTTTCCTGTTTAGTTCCTTCATAAGGCCAGGCGCTACTTGGCAGTCAGTCGTAATGCAGCTTGTGACAACCTGGACATGGTTTCACTGGACTGGATTCATGTGGAAAAGGCTTAGGTCCAGCCTCACTTGCTGCCAGTAAACACTTATACAGTTGAGGTTAGGTTAGAGTTACTGCTCTGCGGTCGTGGAACTGCGGAACTTCATGGAAATGGGACAGACACGAGGTCACAGTGACCTTGACCTTTGACCACCACAATCAGATTAGTTCCTCCTTGAGTCCAAGTGGACATCTGTGCCAAATTATTTCTCTCAGGCTTTTGATTATTTAAAGAACACATGAACTCATCTACAGCTAGAACTAAAGTGAAATCAAAAGTAAAATAGACATGTAACACAAACTGTTGTGGTGCGATTGGTGGACAACCATGGAACCAAGACCAGGATTTGATAAGGCCCCAGACTGATGAGCACACTGAGAATTAGTGGAATCAAAACTGATACCCTGAAACAAAGACGTGTCAGACGCTGGAAACTTGTATGTGGAGGCTCTTGTGTGCAAAATCTTTGTTCTCGTCTTTAAAACTTTTTATGTTTTAATATTTGGGTATTTTTGAAAAGATGTTTTTTAATGTACAAACAGCATGAATTTTTAAGATTTCTAGGACAAATCATAAGTTATATCAGTTTATTACAGAGAAACTGCATGTAAGATAATGTTCTATGTACTGTATGTAATATAAAACTCAAGGTTTATTTACAAGCTGTAGGGGTAAGATTGGAAAATAAACCCAGTTTGTCTGCATCAGTAGAAAAAGGCCAACCTGCACTGTACGTTCCCTATAAACCTTCTGTACCGTTGTCTTCTGTGTTTCCTTGGCAGCATAAAGAGAGTTAATTACTTTATTATTTTTATTATCTTGATCTGTGCAAACTGGGTAAACCTGAATGCTCTGAGCCTTATGTGTGAGGGAGAGTTCACAGCTGTTGTCTTTGTGTAGTTACTCATCTATCCAATGATTAAATACCTATTTTCTCTGGCACTTATGGATGGATTTATCTGGTGCAGCACATTTTTTCCCAGTTTCCCTTTGGACACTTTAAGAGGAAAGGAATGACAGCCACATTCATTTGTGCACATTTCTTTTTTCCTTGCTCAGAATAAATGTTGCGTTCAATATCCACGTGTGCCTTATTGTCATTTGAGGAAGCTGCCAAACGTTTCTTCTTGTCTTTGTTAAAGTATTGATTCCCTCTGACATTTGAAAGATGAATTCATTCTAGTGTCGGCTGCCCAGTTCCCCAGTTCCCCTCACTGGAGCCGCGGAGAGCGGGGGTGACAGTGGTGAGGTGGGTAGAGCAGTCGTTTCCCAACGGGAAGGTTGAAGGTTTGAATCTCAGTGCCTATAGTCCACATGTCAGTCCTTGAGCAAGACACTAACCCCCCCCCCAAGTTGCCCGTGATGGCGGTGCATATGCATGCAGCAGGGCCCTCAGCTCCGAATAAAATTTCATTGTACGTGTTACAATAAAATAAAGCTGCTTCTTCTTTTTTTGTTGTGCTTCATTTATGCTATTAGCTGAGTTGCAGTTCCAAACTTTTAGAGCAGTGTCATTGACTCTTTGTGGACTTCAGCTTGGCGTTCAACACCATCATCCCGGACATCCTCCACTCCAAACTGACCCAGCTCACTGTGCCTGCCCCCACCTTCAGTGTGACTAATCGTTCTGAGTTAGTTTTGAAAGGGGCCAAGTGTGAAAACACCCTTAGTGTGGTTCTTCATAACACCCACTTTGAGTGACAGGTCTTGAGATTTGGAGACCAAGCGGTGAGTGTGACAAATCTTTACACAGTCACAAGAACTTGTGTTCCTTGTAAGGGTGATTTTCATTTTTAGATAGAAATGAATATAATTAGTTAGGGTTTTTATTATATAGCATACATAAGTCTATATACTTTAATCTCACAGTTGTGTTTATGTTTATGTAGTTACATATCTACATATCACCCTATGTGTTCACTGAATCACTGGTCAGTATTTACTGTGTTAGCTAACTGGAGCACTGTTTAACATCAAGGGGGACTGGTTCACTAAAACACTGAATCTCATTAGATTTACAGCTTTGGCAAAGAGGGTCCACAGTTAATTTATTGTCACCACCTGGCTAATGGGCCGGGGGAGCTATAGTTTATTGCATCCTAGGATAGTTAAACAGAGATTAGATCTGAGGCCAGGAAGAGGAGGAAAACTTCAAAGGTAGAACCATTACACACACACAAGCAGAGCAGTTTTATTGGAACTGGAAAGCAATGTGTAAAATGTAGCAGTTAGTTGAAAACAAAGGAAGATGTAAGTGTCTATGTAGAAATTAAGAAAGAGTAGGAATTCCTCCCCTTCTGGGGCGCTGTCCACGACCATTGGAGCAGAGAGGATGGTTGGAGGACGGACGGACTGAAGGACCAATAACGGGAGAGTTAAGTTTAAACCACGACTTCTCCCCAACACTTTTGGACCAATCAGATAGTAACATCTTTTCATACAAATATTGTATACCGGCAAGTTGAGGACAGTCTTTTCTGTTTTTCCTAAACAGTGAAGATCCATGTGCACATGCTTATTTTGATACGTTAATGCATAATAAATTTCACACTGTGAAATATCTTTATATTAGTCTTTTCTTTTCAATATAAAAGAACATGCCTCACATCCTCCCTGTCTTTCCTCTTGTGAGCTGCGTTTACACTAGTGTTGGAAACTGGTGTGTGAAATAAAGCGACAGACTGAAGAGGCACCTCACAGTGAACGTTCGTTTATTAAGACAAACTTTCTTGTTATGTTTTTGCAGACTCATCAACATTACAGACATTCAGTGGAAACACTCTCCACAGTCTTAGCTCACAGACAGACAGACCCTTCTCCATATGTGGGCATACCCGATCACACCCAGCTCTGATGAAACATGCTGAAGATGCTCAGCCAGAGAAAACAGCCAAACATCACATTTCAGCCTGGTGTTTATTTAGTCTTTAAGATAACTTTTTTTGGTGTGAAAGGCTGGAAGCTTAAAATCTGGCTGTTGAAAGTTGTTAGTTTCCTCCTTCAGAGAAAAGAAGCAGCTCAGCACAACTTCATGTCAACAAATTTAAGCAGATTTCAGTGGGAAAGTGTCTTCAGTCACTCCTATGTAGCTTTGGGCGTTAAGCTTTGGGATGCAAATCATTTCAAATCAAGAGGGCCGAAGTCAAGGTCAAGGTCACAGTCAGATTGCAGGTTTTGATTTTGTTGAATAAAGTGGTAACATCTGTGATTCTGGTCCAGCTCTGTCTGTACCTGTCTGGCCCCTCCATACATTTGTTTGTCCCGGTGAGAGTTTGGTTCGTTACTTCAAAAAATCATAGCTATCAAAATTAAAATCTCTAAGTAATTATTGTGAACAAACAAAGAAGGCTGGAGACAGAAAAAGTTCTACATTTTACTGTCCTTAAAAAAATCTGTGTAGTGGAAAATGACTCTCTTGTTCACTGAGGGGGGTCAAAATGAAGCAGGGGTAGAAGGTCATCACAGTGTTTTAATTCAAACAGTAATTCTTGATTTTATTACCAAAGAAAGTCATGATAAAAGACATTAAACTTACAATCTGGTCTCTGTTTCCCTCTGCCTGTATTTTATAAATCTCTCAGTTTCCCTGAAGGCATCACTGATAACTCTCAGTGTGGCATCATTTATTTAACCTCATCTCCACTCTCCACCTCCTAAAGTTCTTTTTCTCTCTCATACAAAATGTTTTTCTTCCTTCTCTACTTTCATAGTTTTATTTCCTTTTCATTACTATGTTTTTTTCCTCTTGATCAAGGTCAAATTTTTGTTTTATTTTTCCTTTCATCACTTGTTAATAGGCTTTTCTCATCACAAAAGTCCTGACAAGACAAGACACATAAAGTACATCCCAAGAAAGTCGCTTCTCTCACTTGCCTCTTTTCCTTGTTTCTTAGTCCCGCTCACATCAGCTGCGAAGAAAACATGAGGAGAGAGGACTCAAGAAAACATGTTATTATGAGATGTCCTTTCCTCAGATCCTTCATCTGAAGCATCCTGTCACCAGGGGCGCATCTCATGTCTCTTATAAGATTGTTCCTGCTCCTGTTCAGTCGACCTGGAAGCTGCTGTGGTCCACTGAGGACGCAGAATGTTCCAAGTCTCTTACATCAGTTCCTAGGACTGAGGAGCGTGGACCGAGGATGGTGCTGGAGGAGCCATGACTGAGGAAACACAAGACCATCCTTCGCATCAAAAATCAGTTGGTGACAGGACGCTTCAGATGAGGGATTGGAGAAAAGGATGTCTCCTGTCTTTAATAGCGTTTCCTCGAGTACTTTCTCCTCATGTTTTTTCCTCGCATCTTGCGGTCCTCATAGGAGACATGAGATGTGCCCCCAACTGATTTCTGATAACAGGGCATCTCGTGTATCCTTGGTCATATCTCCTCCAGTCGCCTCTTCACTCCGCAGTCCTCAGAGCTGATATAAGTGAACTGGAACGTCCTCGACCTCTGGGTCGACCGGGGACCGAGGATTAGGGATGATCTTATAAGAGACTTGAGATGTACCCTCAGTGTAGCCTCTCAGCAGTGAAACTTGAAGATGGCCAGGACAATCCTCTTGTACTCCTTCCTGAATTTGTGGTTCAGGACTCCGTAGACAACAGCGTTGAGGCAGCTGTTGAAGTAGGCCATGAAGTAGCTGGCCGTGAACAGCCATTCTGGTATGACCCGGCTCAGCCTGGAGTCCAGTGCCACTGCAAGGCCAATCAGATTCAGTGGCCCCCAGCAGACAGCAAAGAGCACGAACACCACAAACATGGTCAGGAAATTGCGGAGGTCATGGGGCTTGATCTTTGGTCGCGAGTCTGGCTTGACCCTCTGCCTCACCTGGATAACAAGGATCCAGATCCGTAGGTAACAGTATGAGACAATGCCCATTGGCACGATGAAGTGCACCACCACCACCACGATGGTGTACAGCGAGCTGACCGACTGGGCAAAGGTGCAGGAGTAAACTCGCGGGTCGTACTGCAGCGACTCCACGAACCAGTTGGGCACGATGGCGAGGATAGTGAGCGCCCACACGAGCATGACGTAGCACATGGTGTTGCTGCTAGAGCAGAGCTTGTCGTATTTGAGGCTGTGGCAGATGTAGCAGTAGCGATTGATAGCGATGCCTGTGATGTTGAAGACCGAGCCGATGACGCTGAGACCCATGAGGAAGCCACTGATCTGACAGTGGATGTGGCCGGCGATCCAACCGTCATGGAAGATGGCGGTCAGCACCAGGGGGTAGGGATAGAGGGCGACCAGCAGGTCAGCAAAAGCCAGGCTCACCGCGAAGGCGTTTCCTGCAGGACGAGAGGAGGGAACCAGATGAGGGGCAGAATCAAATATGACCAGAACAGACTGTGAAAGGTGAGGAAACACAAATTATACTTATTTATATGGGATAGGTGAGTGTGAAGTTTTTATTTTAATAACTGCATCTGGCACCAAATAACGTGCACAGTAGTTTCACCTGCTTTCCTGAGTTTCCTGTTCCTGAACACGGAGACAATGACCAGCAGGTTCCCCATAACATCGACCACGATGGTCGTGATCAGGACGCCGGCTAACACGGCAACCACCCAAGGGAAAGGCTGGTACTGCTGACCCTGGGCGCCTTCATCCCCTGCTGGCGTGGAGTTGCGGGGCCCCAAGGTCCCTTCCTCCATGGAGGGCTCATGGTCCTCCTGGGACATCAGTTGCGGAAGGTGCCTCGGGTCGACGAGTCGCATTGGATCGTGGTCGCGGAAGTTCGGTCCATTCAGCATAACGCACAGCTGTCTGACAAGGTCTGCCTGGAAGCTGTGCGCATCGATGTGCGCAATGGCACCGGAGCAACGCGTTCGTCGATCTGGTCATTTACTCTCCCAGGGAATCATCACTGGAAGTCATTCAGAAACCGCACCGGATTCCTTTAAATGCCACACGGTTTCCAGTCTGTCATTTAGTTCCCATTTAATCTGAACAAAGAAAACTGCAGATCGGACGCTTTTCAGGTGACCCTCTTCATTTTGTCAATCACATCATTTCGCGGAGCTGGAATGATCTACTCTGAGGTTTCATTCACAAATCCTCTCCAAACATAATTTCGTTGTACGTGTCACAATGTTACAATGACAATAAATAAAGCTTCTTCTTCTTATTCATGGTTCCAGCTTCATTCTGTTTTAGACGGTCTGTCTCTCAACGCGCTGGGTTCGCGGTCATCACCCTCTCACAAGCGGAAAGCAACTTCAGCTCTGAGCTTCTGAGTGCGTGTCGATGAGATTTAAACGCGTTTTAGTCTCTCTCTCTCTCTCTCTTTTTCTCATTTAGTCTCTCTCCCTGTCTTGCTACTGTGGTTGTGTGTATGTTGTCGTATCACACTGTCCATATGATCCAGCAGTAATGCGCTCTCGTTATGTCCTTTCGTCAGTTCGTCCCTGCTCTCGTCCGCTTTTCTTTTTCAGTATATTTTCGTTTCTTCCTCTTTTCTACTTCGTCTCTTTCTGGCCTCCATTTGTACATCTTCCAAGTTTTTCACGCGTGTGGTTTGATGTAATCTCTTGTTCAGCCTCATATTGCCTCTTCCAGATGATGTTGGCGCACCTTCACGCTTCGGGGGCGCGCATCGTGGTCTATGGCCAGTCTTTCATATTCCCCTAAAAACGGCAGGGGGACACATTATCACCTCTGATTCTCAGTAAGGAACCTTTGACCTTTGTGCTACCTGCTCGTTTTCATAAAACATGCACATTAAAAGGATGAGCAGACTTTAACCTCACTTAAATTTAAGGATTCAGATATGCCAGAAGTGCCTCTGTCGCTGCTGCTCTATAAGGTAATGATGTTGGGAAGGACTGAGGACTTAAAATGGAATGAAAGATTTTTTAAAATATCAATTCAGGTTTTTGCCTGTTTGAATTTGCTTTAATACAATCAATTACAATCCTCAGAAACTGAATACTTGCTTTATTATTATAATTATCAATAGTAGTGATAGTAGTAATACTAGTAGTAGTATTGTGTCATTGTGTTGACAAAACAGTGTGAACCTATACCACAACATTTCCTTCCTAGCAGACTGTGGATGCAAATGCTTCCTTGAGCCTGACAGATTGCAAGAACCAACGAGGAGATTTGTGTTAGGAACATTTCAGGATAAACTACTATTACAAGAAGAAACTGTGACAATAAGCTCATTATTTCATAGGGTTTATACAGATGACATATAATAAATGAAAGGCACAGTGAGATCATTTGAAAAAAACTTACTTTTTGTCTGAACGGAGCCACAAGCAGACTTCTAAATAACATTACAGCAGCTCAGATTAAAACAGTTCAGCACAGGAACGTGCACACTGGAGTGAACAAGGAGCTGGATCTAGACCATAGGCACTGGTCCAGCAGAAGAAGGTGGGAGTGGGTGTATAAAAAACAAGACAGTTCCCAGAGAATATGATTAATTTATTCCCACCTCAATTGCAACGTTCGCCAAGTCTTTATATTTTCTTCCAAACAGGTCAAATTCTGTCTCCTCCCTCATCTGACATGCACTTTGTTGGTACTTGAAACACCCGAGTCTGTGCTGTGAATCATGTGTGTGTTTGTTACACGTACATTAAGCATACACACATTACACAGTATGTTCAAACCCACCTGCGCTTCTTTGTTTGTTTTCCAATATTTCTGTCTTCAGTAGACAGCCTGGCCAAAACGCCCAGAGGGAGCAGCGATGTACGGCAGGAAGGTGCAAGAAGTCTGACATACTCAAACAGGTTCATAGTAGATGTTATCTTTATTTGCATTCTCTTTACAACATTGAAAAACAAAAAGGGAAAGACGGCATCTTAATTCAATCTCTCACAGAGAAACAACAGATCAAAACATGGGGAGGCCCACATTAATACAAAAATAAACTTTATGAATGAAATGAATGAAAACAATTCTAATGTACATTCAAGTGAATTATATTCTAAACAGCAACACACAGATACGGACTGTACGCACAACACAGTACCTGTAGATAAGATCTCTTTTGTACAAGGATTAGAAAACTTGTTTTAACTAAAACAGAAGTCACAGTTAAACCATCAGTGGCATATGTTTTACATTAACCCACAGCATAAAACAACATTGGCTGTTTAGTGACACATTTTCATATTTCACAAAGTAAGTGGAGCTGACACTGACATACAGCAAAGGGTTAATGTGAGGAGAACAGGAACCGAGTTGGTCTAATAAAAAAGCTGGTCAGCTGGAATTTTTATGAGCAGCCTGATGAAGACCAGGTTTTCAAACAACACTTGTCATTGATCCTCAGAAATTCTCAGTTCTTGCTTAAACATTGTCGTTCTTAAACATTCTTGGACTGAAACACAAAAGCAAAAATACGGGGAATGGAAGTGTGATTTTTAGCATCCAGGTTATTAATTGGCAGTTTTTAAGATTTGTTCCCCTATTAGGAAATGTATTTCTCCTAAAGTTTGATGATATACCAGGGCTCCAGACTGCGAGTGATCAGTGGCATGTTGCGTCCAAATTTGTTTAACGTGTGCCTTTTTTCAAAGGCCACGCTGGGTGTGAAAACAGCTTGTACACAAAAGATGCTCTCACTGGAAAAACAGCGGACAGACGTAATAATCTAAGTGAAGCCGTTTATCTGCAGGTCTGTCACTCGCCTGTCTCCAGGCAGAGACTTCCAGTTTACTGAATGTGTCGATTCATGCTGACTCCGAGACGCGCGTCATCCCTGGAGCCCTTTTTATGCTTAGTTTATTTTTCCTTTGACGCATTTATTTCAAGTGTAATCACCACAGACACAGCTGCTTAAATCCAGGTGATCACCTGTTAGACTATTTATGTTGGAAACTAGTTACTTGAATTCATTGGCTTATATTTCAGTTGAATATGTTGACTGCTCGGCTTTACTACAACAAAGCTTCAAACTTGTTCCAGATGTGATTTTCCCATTGGCTGTGTTTGAAGTTTCCCTCTCTCTGAATTAAATTTTAAATACAGGCTGTGTACTTTGGATGGTAAGGTTATTTAAAATAATTACTGAAAAATACAGATTCTTTTTGCCTTGTGTTGTAAAACAGAGGTGGTGCCACCAGTGTGAAATGTTCATCTGGAGCCCTGTATACAGTATTTGCCCTTTGCGATATCATGGGGAAACGGCAATTAGATACACAAGTTGCATGTTTTGTGCGTGGAAACAGACAATGAGATGCTGCATTTTAAAAAGGAGTTGACTCGTGAACTTAAGCAGAACAAGAGTAGTTGGATCCAGATTTAGAAGCTTTGCATACTAAACAGAACAAATCATCAGATGGTAAGACTATTAGATTGGTGGATACTAACAAGTAAGAGCATTACAGAGTGCAGATGGAAAGGCCCTGATTCCTTTCCACCTGCCTTTAGAAGCCAAAGCTCAGCAGCAGCACAGCAGTGACTAAATACCTGTGTGTATTAGAGTTTGCAAAGTCAGCACATTACTGAAAAAGACTTTCAGGTTTCAATGGTTGTTTTAGTGATGGAGGGTACAAACAAATCAGTCTGAGCTTCAGGTTTGAATATAAGCTGAAGAATAAACTGCTGAATGGCCAAACTGATCAGGAGTTTAGTTCATTGGGAAACACTGAGAAATCACATATGGACTGGAAATGACAGACTTGATTGTGGCTCCATAATTTAATTGGAACTGGAAGTTGATAATTTAATGTTTTGGGACAAATCAGGCAACATGAAGGAACATGTAGAAAACGGCTCCTCCACTTCATTTAATAAATAAAATACCTGCAAAATTTTAATAAGGAATTTAGGTGTATTTGCCACTATGATGATTTGTTACTTTTTAGACACTAATTGATTAATCAGTTAACTTAGAGATATCTGAAGTGAACAGCCAAACAGAAAATGAATCAACTGTTTGTACTACTGGTCTCAAACATCAGTTTAATTACTAATGCGATGAATAGTTTGACTACCGGTACTTTGTTTTACAGGAGAGTCTTTGTGATTAATCAAGAAAATTAACTGAAACTGACAAGTAATTGATATTTGTAGCTCCAAAGTCTTTATCAAAGACTGGTATTGGTATTTAATTGTGAATGTTGTGGCTCGTGATTCTCATTTAATTGTAGAAAATGCCGTTCAGGCTAAAAAGACTATTCAGTGCAACACATTCACTTTTTAGTGTGCTGCATACTGCACACTAGCTCTTGATCCAAATAAGCATTTCTCGTGTCCAGGGCTTGTATATTTACATCATTTAAAATGGCTGCATAGACATTTCTTTGCTTGTGCAAATACTACTCCACATTAAGTGAACTTGCTCACAAACACAAACATCTCTGAAGAAAATACTGTACTCACACTCATTAAAATCCACGAGAAGATGCTTAAGGATTAAAAATATGCAGAAATAACAGTAATGGAAACAGCATTGGTACTAGTGTAACACTCAAAATATATCTACTGTACTTCACAGCTAACAGTCACCTTGTTATTTGTATTTCTGGCTTTTTTTTTTTTTTTTTTTTTTTTTGAGGATCCAGCCCCCTTTCTTTTAACAGACGGAAACAGTAAGCAGATCAGTGAGTCCAGTGAAACGTGTATCCTGCATGAAATGTGCTCAAATGTCACTTTCAGTGCATCCAGATTAAGGGGTTGGTGTTAGACACACATTAGGTTAAACCTATGTTTTATGATATTCTTGCAGTTCTTTTGTGACCAGTTAAATTTCATATGAACACACACACTTGCAAGATTTGGGTATGTTCAGTCCTGTTTGTGATTTGTGTTTCATACAATGCTGTCTCACCTTGAATCACACAGGAAGCAGTTGGCTTGTCAGACACATTTGAGAGGTGAAACTATGATTTGGAAGGCAGAGTCTCCCATGTTGAAGCTGTACAGTTTGAAACAGTCCACAGTTGAGTCAGTAATACTGGTCAATTGTCACAACCCTAACAAGTTAAGGAGTCCAGTGTTTCACCTAGGTTAGTTGGTCAGGGAGGGCAGATTTTGCCTGTTCTTCCACCAGGAGCCAGATGCTCTCAAAATAATGGGCCATTCTTCCCTTTCACTGTAGTATTTTTTAAATCATGCCGCTGGTGTAGTCTAACTGCTGAAGTGCATCCAGTTTCAGTGTGTCTCTCTGTCTGACCGAGGGTGGGGCTTAGCTACATACAAGGTTCAGGACAGAGGCCACCCAAAATCCTTCCTTCAGAGTTTTGCAGAGGCGTAGCCGTGTTAACTGGTGCTTTATAAAATCTTTTATTTTCCTGATCCACTGCTTGTTTTGCTAGCACGGCTCCCTCTCTTCATTCACTCTATCGTTTGGCCATCTCTGCTCTACTTCTCTCCTAGTGAAGTAAATTTAGAAGACATGCAGTGAAATTTAGCACAAAGAATAAATTAACGGCTCTAGTTGAATAGAATCGTATTGTTCGTGAATGTATCATCACTAGGGTTGACGTTTGCCCATCTTTTTAGCCTGTCTGCTGGCGCTTACTGGTGTGTGGAACTGTGGCAGTGCACGGGGCAGTGGAGGAGCTAGAAGCACCCTGGGCACTGATTCCAGGCTCAGGTTCGGTAACGGCACTGAAAGTTGATAGGAGACTGAAAAAAAGCTGATATTGGTCTGGTCTTCCTTCTGCGCTCGATGCTCGTTCATGTCGGCTTTAAACTAAAGCCTCTGATGTTGCACCAAATGCACGTCTCCAGCTCGTGTTACTGTCAATCAGACATGATCCTCATCTTAGCTGTAAACATGGATAAGCCACGCCCTCACTAGGGACACAACAGAATAGTGGTCACAGTGAAATGCATATATGACAGCACCTGTTTTGTGCGTTTGCTTTTGGGCGGTGGGGGCTGCAGTGGCAGGTCCCC